AAATAAAGGATAGAACACAGAGGATGTTTAGGGCAGTGAAACTATTCTATGTGATACTGTAATAGTTGCTATGTGTCATTACACATTTGTTAAAACCCACAGAATGTGCACCAAGAGTGAACCTTAGTGTTAAACTATGGACTTTGGATGATAATGACAAGTCAATATAGGTTCATCGACTATACCACTGTGGTGCAAGATGTTGACAGTGAGGGAGGTTGTGTGTGTGTGTATATGGAGGGGAAGAGGCAGAGGTATATATGGAAACTCTCTGTACTTGGCACTCACTTCTGCCATGAACCTAAAACTGCTCAGTAAAATAAAGCCTATTTTAAAAAAGAAAGATACATCCTATATAAAAGCAATGTCTCTATAAGTTAAAGGGGAACAGTAATGTAATGTGATTATCCCACAAGCCTAGTCAGCACTTACCCACTCATCCAATATGTCATACACTTTCTATCGTAGAGGCAGGAAACCATACATCATACATCCACTTAGCCTGAAGGCCTTTCCCTCTCTACCACCGACTCTCTACCTACCAGACTTTTAACTGTTCTGACACTTCAAAGTCAGCTCAACGTCACCGAATTCTTGAAACCTTCCCTGACCCCTCATCTTGACTGAGGGTTCCTTCCAATACCTCTCTGTATCATGGAACATTCTTTTCTGTTTGGCTTATGGTACTGAAACAAAACTTTTGATTAAATGTGACCTTTGAAAAGTCAGAGGTTATATCTAAAAATCCAGATTTCTTACTACTCTTGAACAGAATAGGTCACTGTTACCAGGTGGGTATGGGAGTGAACAGCAGGAACCACATTACGGATCCCTTTCCTTGTGGCCTTCCCAAAACTGAGGCAGTTGTCATCTACGACACTGCTGTGATTTATTTACTATCATCCCTGTTTTTCTTACTCCCTCCAACTTCACTCACTCAAGGTGCCTGCCTGGCTCCAGTCCCCATTTGAGGTTGCAACCACTGTTTAGTTACCTGTTTCTCTGTCTCTCATACCTATGAAACTCTAAGTTTCTTGAGAGTAACAACTTGTTTCTCTTTCACCCCTCCATTCTGACTGGTATATATTCAACTACTTTCTGAATTCACTAAATTATTAGTCAATAAAATAGGAAAAATGCTAACATTTAATCCATCATGAATGTTGCTTCATACACTTTAGCAGTTGATAGCACTGTTTCTTTACTACGCTTAAATTCACTTCAAAATTCTATATCCTTTTCACACCTAAGTTACAAGTAGGTTCTTGAGGGTTGGTATAATGAAAAGCAGAGACATGGAAAAGAAAGAGATCATGTGCTTTGAAAGCCTACTATGTGCCAGGCACTGTACTAGGCTCAATAATTAAGGTGCCTGGTGGCAGGGGGAGGAATATCCAGCAGCTAGGAGTGCTTGGCACACCCCTCGGGACCAGGTAGGACCAGCATTCCAGAACAGCCAGTGAGCTTCTGCAACAAGCAGAAATAATACAGAGTTGCCAAGCCAGAGCAGTTACTGGTTACTTTGTGTAAACTTCGTAGGACACTTACAGCATTCTTACAAGTGGTGAACCCATGCCAGGAAAGAGTCTATACTAGAGCCCCTGACTATCTCCACCCACAACTGAGGGCCTCTTCTCTTTTCAATCAAAGCAGTCAATTCCATTACACCTGCCATTAGGAACTAACTAGATAGCTCTGTTGTCCTATTCCCTTGGAGGAAAAAGATGAGAAAGAAATGTGTCATATAATCCCTATCAAAACAGAAAAAGGAAAATTTGAAATCAGAAATAGTAGTTTTCACTTAATGGTATAACCAGCTTTTTAAAAAGAGTATAATCAGCTTTATTTAAGAAAAACTATAAAGCAAATAATTTGGCCTAAAGGTAGTCTGTTGCTTGAGATGCTGTACTGTAAAACCTTTTTTAAAAGTAAATTTTTTATTTAAGATAATTGTACGTTCACATATAATTGGAAGATAAAATACAGAAAAATCTCTTGTACCATATCCCCAGTTTTCCCCAGTGGTAACATCTTGCAACACTATAATACAATATCCCATCCAGATATTGATATTGATACAGTCAAGATACAAAACATTTCCATCACCACAAAAATCCCTCATGTTGCTGTGTTATAGCCATACCAACTCCCTCCTACTCCCCTTCCCCCTTCTCGTAACTCCTGGCAACCAGGAATCTGTTCTCCATATTTATAATTTATCATTTCAATAACGTTATATAAATAAATTCATGCAATATGTAACCTTTGGGATTGGCTGTTTTCACCCAGGATAATTCCATGGAGATTCATTCTGCTGTAAAACCTTTAACTGGTATGGACCATAAAACAGAATACAACCTAGTAAAGTAACCAAAGACCTTGGGTTCACTGATGACTCCCACTAAAGCAAACGGCACAAGAAAATTAAATTTCACTGTGCTCTGTTATCTGTAAGGGTTTTCCTGCCACTGTAAAGATGTAAAGACATTCTTATCAAATTGTTTCACCACCAAGCCCATTTTACACACTGGAATTATAAACCTTTATACTTGTACGGCCATGAAGGCTTGTGAAACTTATCTCCAAAAAACATGACTTGTTAAGTGAGTTCCAAAATCATTATTAATCATCACATAGTAATAATTAATCATTATATTATGAATAATTTACAATGAACTTCCTGAATTTTCCTACTTTAAGTCCTTGCTCTCTCACACTACAAAAAAAAAAAAAGCCTCACGGGAATTGCTGCTGTTTGAAACATGCCCTAATGGTGAGTTGTTGTTGTTTGTTTGTTTTTTAAGATTTTATTTATTTGAGAGAGAGACAAAGAGCGGGGGGGGGGGACACAGAGGGAGAGGAAGAAGCAGACCCACTGAGCAGGGAGCCTGGCAGGACTCAATCCCAAGACCCTGCCCCGGAGATCAGACCTGAGTGGAAGGCAGACGCTTAACCAACTGAGCCACCCAGTCGCCTCAATCATGTTGAGTTTTAACCACTGCAAAGAAAGAAACACGACAGCTCCAAAATCTTTAAAACCACAAACTGATTTGTTTGTTCTTCAAATTTTTCCTTCAACACATTTAGGACATTGTTCATAACCACTTCTAATAGCTGCCAAACTTGGCAAGAGAATCTCATCACTGAATGATTATTTGAAAAGGAGAAGCATTCTGACCAGAGAGACTAACTTTCTACTCCTTTCTACTCCTTACCATTTTAAGACAGAAACCAACTAGGCTCATCTCACCTTAGCAAGCCTATAATACAAAGATCAAGCTACAAACAATGAAAGCGTCTGTAACCTGTTGCCATGTTTATAAAACATAAGCCTAAATTTCATCGATCTTTTAACCAGATCCACAGTACTCTGTACTGGTGATACAATTTGTTAAGCAAATCAAAACTCAATTGTCACCAGACGTAAGATTTTTAGATGAAGCACATACTCTAAAATTTCATATATATGGAGAAAGAGAAGAGGGAGGGTGGGAGGAAAAAAAACTCCCAGGCAGTTCTCTCAAATGTTTAAGTTAAACTATGGAGAAAAGTAACAGACTATTACCTAAACATGTAAGTAATTACTTGTCCAGTAAAAAAAATTAACAGCACCATAAGAGACTCTTAATCTCAGGAAATAAACTGAGGGTTGCTGGAGTGGAGGGGGGTGGAAGGGATGGGGTGGCTGGGTGATGGACACTGGGGAGGGTATGTGCTATGATGAGTGCTGTGAATTGTGTAAGACTGATGAATCACAGACCTGTACCTCTGAAACAAATAATACATTATATGTTAATAAAAAATAAATAAAATAAACGGCATGTAAACTTTAAACTTTCTCAATAATTTTACTGCATATACACATATGCACATGAACACATATACACACACCGCTTTAGGACAGACGTCCACATCGGAACCCCCAATTACCACTCCTTTTCCTCTCAGAGAAGGGTCCTAAGGCTAATATCAATGGTTCCACTTAGACACTGCAGGTTAGCCAGGATAATAGTCCACACTCTTTACTCTCTGATATTAGCTCACTAACACAGGTTTGTCTCCAGAGCCTAAGAGAAAACTTCTAGAGGGCAGAGACCCACATCTCATTCATCTTTGTAACACCACAGTGCTACCATCTGCAAATGTGCTACACAGAGTAGGCACTAAAGATATGCCGAATGTTAAAACGACAACATATGTTTGAGGTAGAGACCTATAAATTCCAAAATGCAACCGGAAAATTTTCAATCTCAGTGGCACTACGTGTCCGAAATCTTATGTGTGCCCTTTAAATAAACACTCTATGGCTCCATTTTCTCATCCGAACAATGAAGGTAAGAGCACCTAACTCAGAGGATTTTGAATGGGTTAAAAAGCTGGTATAGGTAAAGTCCTTAGATCACCGCCAGGAACATCACACACTACATAAGGGTTAGCTGCTGATATTATTGAAAAAGACTATTACAGTAAAAGTAAGGCTCATGCAGTCCGACAAGAGGCCAAAAGCTTAAAAGAAATTGTTCTAGGAAAGATAAGATCAGAGGTGGGCAAACTTTTTCTGTAAAGGGCCAGATTCTACTATAAATACCGTAGCTTGTCAGGCCAAGAGACAATATCCTCAACCCTTGGGCCAATTATTCTCCCTGAAAGGCTAGCAGGCTTTTTGTTACATCTCACATTTTAAAAAACTTAAGAACCATTCTTACTACGTGGGCCCGTATAAAAACAGGCTGGATTTGGACTCCGGGACTTTAGTTTGCCGACCTCTGGATAAGAATGTAATAATGATAATACAAGTCCGTGCTTTTTAAAGGCAACATAAGGAAACGTTTGTGAGTTGATTAAAGCTGACTGAAAAACGTGCTGCTCCCAAACTTCTAAAATCCAGACATGCAGGGCCGGTGTGGTGGGGAAGCCAGAAACGGGGAGTAGGGCTTCAGGAAACAGCGAGGACCTCGCACGGCTCTCTGGGTCCGGCAGAGCCTCCCTGCCACACTTACTCCCAGCAGCGGCCCGCGGCCGATCACCGTCTCCCCGGGGGCCAGGGCCACCCGGGGGCCGCCGTCCTGCGGCTGCAGCTCGAAGCCCCCGGACATGGCGGCGAGGACTACACCCCTTCGCAAGGAGACGGTCCCCGCAGCCGTTTCCGCCTTCCATGGACACGCGCGGGGCCAAGGCAGGCCCTCAGAAAAACGCAGGGGGAGGGGGTGCACAGGCTCCGCTCGACCGTCTCCAGGCCTCGCTCAGCCGAGGCCCCATCTCCGCGTCCGAGTCCCGCCTCCCCTCTCCGACCCGTGACGCGCGCCGGGATTCTTCCAACACTCCGCCTCAAAATTATTTTTTAAAAGCCCGGGTTAACGACCCCCCCACCCTTTCTCACCGCCCACCCGCCGTGGAGGATGCCGGGCCTTGTAGTCCTTGGCGCCTCCTTCTCCTCTCTTGCTGAGCTGAGACGCCCTGGTAAAACTACCACTCCCAAAAGGCAACGCGCGCACTTCTCTACGCCTGTACGAAACCCGAGTCAGCAAGGCGGAGCTACAGTGGGCGGGACTGGAGGGACTATGGCGAAGGATTCGAATTCCAAAGGATTTAATTCGCTGGAGGAGCTACCGAGACACTGGAGGTAGGAGGGTCTTCCTTTCCAGCCGACGGCTGGACGGCTCAGCTTCGGCTCAGCTCCCTAGAACTGCGGTGACAGTCGGTGCTGACGGTTGTTATTGTCGCTTATTTGTCATTGCTCCGTGTTCTTTGGACTCGGGCAGCTGCAGACTGCGCGAGACCCTCAAGGAGGGTGGCTCAGTGGGATGTGGGGTCATTCCTTCCGACCTGTGGGGTTGGTCTGCGCTGCCTCCCTATCCCTCCCTCCTTGTGACAGGGGCGAGCTCTTACCGAACTAGAGAGGTAATTCAGCAAAGTATGGTTCATAAACAAGAAGGGGCAGAAGAGGAATAGTTGTCCAGGTATCCAGGCAAAACTGGACTTAAAAGAAGATGCCTAGTGGGAGTTTAGGAACCTCACCAAGGTACCCCCAACTGTTAAATTCAAAAAATTCATTTGCCTCCTGGGGAAGAACTGTAACGAGAGGATGCATTTTATGCACCATTGAGATTCTGGGACAAGTAACAAATGTTTAAATGCACGGTAATGTTCTCTTAATATGAAATTTTTTTCAAGAATATAGTAGTTTGGCTTGGTTTGTTTGATGGTGAGAGAGATGAGTTCCGTGGCAAAAACTTGCTCTTGACTCATGAATTTGTTTCTATCAGTTTGCTTTCTTACTTCCCCAAAACTTCGAGAGGAAGTTCTCTGTTGAGCAGAGGCATTAAAATTCTAACCACCAAAGCTAATTCGGATTATAAACAACCAAATGAATGGGAGCAACTGTGGCCTTGGCAAGTCCAGAAACATAGGTGAGTAACATGTCTAGAAAGGGGAATAATCATTAGCTGAATTAAAAAGAAGTATTTAACAAACCTCTCTTCCTGCACTGTCACACACACACACACACACACACACACACACACCCATTATAAAAGAAAGTGCAGCATGGAATAAACTGATTTTAATATGAGCTGTCTTTATATGCAAAAATAGCTCCATGCTCTCAACTGATTTTGGAAGCCAACCCATCTTTAATTATATGCTGTACCTAGCTGAATTATAAACATTGTTTATAGTTGTTAGTTACATAATTATGCATGTAGGATAGCTTCAAGAGGCCATTTCTAAAACACTAATCTTATAACTGAACTGAATATTTGAGACCTTGTGTCATTATAACCTGGACTTCAACCTCCTGTCCATTTCAGATAGTATTTATGTCATCTGTGAGCACCTACCCATTAGGTACAAGTAGATAAATAATTATATATACTACAAAAGTCCATCAGATTTATGATTAAATCACAGATTGTAGATGAAGAACTTAATGACAAGGCATCAGCTCCCACAGACAAGTATTTAGGAGTTGAAGAGAATTGAATCATACACATTTTTCAGAAGTATTTTTGACAAATGCTTGGAATCAAATATGTTCCCACAATAGTCATTTCTACTACTAAACTCAAATTATAGTCTGTGAAGAATCACTTCTCTTTTTTAGATAATGTTCTCTGGGAGCAGAAAAACAAATGTTTAGAAACAAACCCATTTACTACAAACATTTTCAAAGAAGAAGGGAAGTAACGTGTTGAGTGCCTCCCATGTGCAATTCAGATGTGAAGCTAGATGCTTTACACATAATCCCTGTTAATCCTTGTAAGAACACACAGGAGAGATGCATCATTGGCCCCATTTTACAGGTTGAAAAACTCAAGAAAGTTAAGGTTCTTTCAATCATACCCAGAATGTATCTGGCTCAGAGTAGGTTCTGTCATCTGATCTGAAGAGACTGAGCATGTTTAAACTTTGCCTTCTAGGTTACATATGAGGATAATCTGCTAAAACATCAAGCTATGCAGAAAAACTCCAAGAGGAACAATAATTCAAGAGTTTCTGGCATAGAATTGAATTCTGTGGATGCTGAGAAGGAAAAAAAAGAGAGTCAAAATAACTTTGTTGAACTGCTGCCTCCAGAAGTTACTTTTAAAATTTTCAGTCAGCTAGACATTCGGAGTTTGTGCAGGGCTTCAGTAACCTGCAGGAGCTGGAATAACACAGTAAGAAACAGTGACTCCTTGTGGAAACCTCATTGCTTGACTCTAAGAGCTGTGTGCCAAAGAGAAATAGACGATGATCTAGAAAGTGGATATTCCTGGAGAGTAAGTTTAGTCTTTGTAGTCTGCAGTGTTCTTGACAATATGGTGGTGGGTTTGAGCCAACCCCACCTTCTGCCTGAGGAGGTAGGATTTCAGAGACGGAGTGGCATACAGAGTGTGTTGGCTTTTGGAGTTGAAGTTGAATTATTATTCTTCTCCTACAAACCACACCATCCCATCCATCCTTTTACATTTTTTTAAATCCTAAATTTAGGCACATTCCTCTGTTAGCTACTTCATTCTACTTTATCCAAAACTCACAGCAAACTCCATGGCTCACTTTGCATATGTACACGTATACATACGCCCACACACGCACATACACACACAACACATTTATTAGTATATGTGTGTATCAGTGTAAATACTTAATCTTCTTTTCAGCCCTGTCAATCAGCTCCTCTAGTTTTAAACAAACTCACTGACCAACCACCTACTACATTCTTTAACAGTGATGATTTACCTCTTTCAGGTAATACTATTGAGGAATTACCAGAAGAGTAAAGTGAAACACGAATGGCTAAGTGGCAGATACAGCAACATATGTTCTCCTCTGAGCCTACCAGAAAAAATCATGTACCCAATGGATGTAGATACATGGGGGGAGATTCTAGAAGCAGAACTGGAAAGATAAGCCAGAAAATTACAAAGATCTTGTAACTCTGAGACTTTCAAACAAAAATGACTCTTAGGTTCATTTTTTTGTTTACCATTTTAATGTTTAACATTTAAAAGAAAACTAAGTAGAAAATATTATGAAAGTCAAACTTTGTTTTTATTCTGTACTTTCATAAAAATTTTTCTGGTTTTACTGTAAGGTAGAAAATCATGAAATGTTTTGTATGTAGGAAATACTATACGGATAGAGTGATTTCAAAATGTATTGCTTCATGTATTTGTATCAGCATATTGCAGTACTCTAATGACAAGAGAGTTTGATTGGTATTTTCTACTGAATAGTAATTCAAAAATTCAGGAAACCATTTGAAGAAACTGATTAGAGATTCATTCAGCAGTAGGCATAATTAGGCTCTTAACTGGAAGTAGACAACACTAGGAAGACTACCTAAATGAAATTAATCACTATATATTTAAATGTAGAGTGTAATACACATATTTCAATAACTTTAAAATGTCTATTTCAGTGGAATCAGATTGAATTGTCAAACATTGAGCCCATCTTAAAATGTGTTAAACTTGTGGTTTAGTTTAAAATTAACCTGACCAGAAGGCTAAAACTTGTGAGACTAAGATTCTCATTACTTGCCTACAGACCTGGAACTGCTCTCAGGGACAATGGAAAGTTTCCAGTAACACTTGAACTGCCACAGTTTTTCTTGGTAAAAGCTTTCTTTCTAACAGCTTTATAGCACCATCTAGTGTACGCCTCGTAGATAACCAAGGCAAAGGACTTAAGGTCCCTTTTGTTTTCCTCACATTTAAAAGAAAAAAATATATATTATTTTAGAGAATGCTATATACCTGACTTAAGTTTATAGCTCTTCAGGAACCTTCAGTTTAACTTTAGTTCTCTTTTTCTTAAAAGTAGATGGTATAGTATTCACTATACCAGATTGTTCATTCTGAATCTGTGGTCAGCATCATAGTAAAAAGTGTCTACAAAACATTTTAGTTAGTATGGTATTTTCTTCTTAAATTGTGCTCCATAGCACAAAAAAGAAGCATCCAGGAAACCTGTATCTAACAAATAGACACAATATCAGAAAGATGCCTCATTCTATACAAATTCCCCTTGTTGGATTAAGCAGGTGAGGATCGGCTGGAAGGGGCCTTGAAGATCAGGCAGTGCAGTCTCTAGGACTAGATAAGAATCCCTTCTAGAGAAATTCCTCTCATGCTCCCACCCACCAAACTCTCTTCTTGGCAAACTCTTTTGTAAAACTTACCCTCTTGACCTGGAAACCATCTCTAGATCCTACCATTCTGGATTAAGTGACCTTCAATGGAGTTCCCATAGTTCTTTGTACATACCACTCTTAAAGCTGTCTACTACATTAAAATGTGTCTGTTTTATTTGTCTGCCTACCCCGTTAGACTGTGAGCTTCTTGAAGGCAGGGACCATTTATTTATTTTTATGTTCCCCAAACCTGGAATATAGTAGGTATTCCATAAAGATTTGTTAAATTATTTCTGTATTATTTATTTTAATCCTACCCAGATTGTATAATAAAAATAATTTGCTATATTGTTAGTGGACAAGACTGTACTGAAATGCAGTGTGCCACCCATAAGGTAGATGGGTTGCTTACTATTAATGCAAATACATGAATAATTGTTTTAGTCTTCTCAAAAGCTGTAAGAGAGAAACAGGAAAATAGAAATGTTTTGTTTTATGTCTTGGAATAAACACTTGAAAATCAACTTAACCTAAAAGTATCACTTATTTTTAATTATTAGGTCACCCCAATGAGTTTTAAGTATTATTTTGCAAGTTATATGAATAATCTTTAGTTTGGTTGTTTTTAGTACTATAGCATTAAAATTATTTTATATAATAAGTTATAAGCTATGATCACATTCTACACAGAAAGGAAAGTTTGCTAACTTAATGATAAATTTTATGGTATGGGCCTAGAATGAACTGTACATTTATCAGACCAAGCCATTAGCATCTGAGAACATGAGTGGGTGGAGTAGAATGGACGGAAGGAGTGCTCTTACTCATAGATAAAATAACATGTTACATAGACACAGTTTTGTTGTTGCATAGAACAACATAGAATATTGTTGGCATAGAATATTAAGGAGTTTCCAGTGTTATTTAATATTTAATCAGTTCAAGAGCTAGTATTTTTTTTAATTTAGAAATCTTTCTTTAGTTGCTTCTAGTCTATAACCCAGCCTTAGACCAGAACATAATCACCAATAAAATCTGTATGAATATAAGCTTTAGACCTTAGAATACCCAAGTAAATAAAAGCCTAATTTGAAAAATATACCACTAACCACTTTAATTTCATCTTTGCTTTGATTTCATATAATATCTTCTCTCCAAAACTTCAAATGCCCTAATAATAACAAAAATAAGACGACTAGTAACATCATGGGAAGAATAATACATAAGATGAAAGAGCACACATTTTTATTTACAGTAGAATTGAAAGACCAAAATCATCAAATAAATGAAATTAGATCAACAATGGAGAAAGTTGATTAATTGTAATAGCCAACAGTTATTGAGTACCTACTCGGAACCAAGTATAGTGCTTCTATAGGGGATACTATTATGCTACATCCTTTCTATGGATGAGGAAAATGAAAATTAGAGAATGATCTTATCTATGTAGTTCATCACCACCCCCCAGCACCTATGAGTATGTAACATGCAGTAAGTGCTCAATAAATTTTTATTGAATGAATTAAAAACTTACCTGAGATTGAGTAACTTGAATGAAAAAGCTAAGAATGTTTCCCCAACTTTTTATTTTGAAAAATTTCAAACACAGAAAAGTAAAAATATATGACAAAAAACTCTTAAGTATATCCTCACCTAGATATACCAGTTGTTAACATTTCCACATTTGTTTTATTCATTATTTATTTTTGCTGAAGCTTTGGAAACTAAGTTGCAGACATGATGATACTTTACCCCTAAATACGTCAACATGCATCTCCTAAGAATAAGTACATTCTCCTATATGCAATACCATCATCACCTCTAAAATTTTTATATTGATTCAATAATATAATTTACAATCCTTATTTAAATTTTCTTAATGGCCCCAAAAATATATAGATTTTTTTTTCCAATTCAGGACCCAAGCAAGGTTTACAAGTGCATATCATTTTTTATGTCCCCTTAATCTCTTTTAACCAGAAGCATCACTCTGCCATTGGTTTTGTTTTTCAGAATATTGACTTGTTGGGTTTTTTTTTTTTAAGAATTCAGGTTGGTTTTCTTATAGAATGTTCTGTAAATGATTTGTCTGATCATCTCTTCATGATTTGATTCCGGTAAAACATATTTAGCAATTATGGTGGATGTAATAGGCTTCTTAATGTACCACATTAAAAGGCACATAATGTCTGATTGTTTTTACTGTGTGACAGAGTAAGTCTGATTATTTGATTGAGGTGGTAATCATCAGATCTCTCCGTTCAAAGGGATATTTTCCAATAAAGCCAAAATTTCTTTTTTCAAGAACCTGTTTCTAGAGTATTCCCCTTTGACTAACCCTATGCTAAATGCTTTATAACATTTTCTTATTTCATCTTCATAATTAGACTTTCAAAGAACACAAGAAGTCATCTTCAAGGTATTTTGCAGTTAATCTAAATATCAGTGTAAGAAGATGTAAAGCCACTATTTAAACCCAAATCTCTTTGACTTCAGAGACTAAGTTTTGAACCACTAGAGTATAGTGCCTTTTATAATTTTGACACTTAGTCCTTACACTGAAGCAACACGAAGGACTAACAGGGAACACCTCCGTACAAATATCTAGAAAACGAGAGGAAATCAATATTAGACATATAAAACTTAACATTTCTGCTAATAGTAGAACAGTTAATTCTAAGCCTTCCTACACAGGACAACTTGAAAACCTCAAGCAAAAAAATTTATTCTACCTGAAGGCATCATAGAGTTAACAATGTAAAGAAATATTAGACCAGTTTCTGGAAAAAGAAAGAGAAGCAGAGAGGTAAGCCCATGATTAAGATTAGTCTTACCATGGAGCATTTGCCAATTTCTGCAAGAGCAACTGCAAGATTAAACAGATTCCGAAAGCTTCTCAAGATTATGAGGACAATGAGTGGAATCTAGGACTCACTAAGAGTAGGAGAATGAGGAAACCCTCTTCTTAGTAACTCCCCTCTTGTAGTTTGAGACCCAGAAGGACTCCACCCTAGGAATGGGAGTGGCCTGGAAGTACACAAAATCTCACAAGAGAATCATGCACTTTCAAAACACCTCAGTCTCTGAAACTGGCATCTGAGGATCCCAGAATAATAATGCCCCAGACAGCTGGCAGAAGCAAAAAAAGTCCTCCCTGGAGAAAGATAGCAACTTTGTAGGCTTCACATTTTGTCTGCGAACATTTTTTAAAATCAGTGTCTGATGCATACACACATACATACAGACACACATATAAATAAGGGGTCATGATAACATAAATAAAAACAGAAACACACAATAGAAAAGACCCACAGATGGAGTTATCAGATGAAGCCTCCAAAATAACAAAGCTTGAGGTAATCAATGAGATAAAAGGTATGCTGAAAATTTCAACAAAAGGACTGAAAATAATGAAAAGAGCCAAGCGGGAATTTTACAACTAAAAAGAATGGCACATTAAAAAAAGCAGTGTTAAAAAAAGTGATCTGCTATTTAACAGCAGATTAAACCCAGCTCAAGAGAGGGGAAAGCATTCGTGAATCTGAAGATAGGAGCAAAGAAAATATCCAGAATGAAGTAAGGAGAGAAAAAGAATGAAAAATACAGAACAGAGGACAGTGGGAAAATATTAATAAAGTGTGAAGGTCTAATGTATGTGTACTTAGAGACCAAGAAGACAAGACGGGATAGAATGGGGCAGAAGCAATTTTGAAGCAGGGACAGCTACGAACTTTCTAAAACTGATGAGAAACCACAATTCATAAATTCAAGAAGC